TTTTGAGACGGAGTTTCGCTCTTGTTACCCAGGCTGGAGTGCAATGGCGCGATCTCGGCTCACCGCAACCTCCGCCTCCTGGGTTCAGGCAATTCTCCTGCCTCAGCCTCCTGATAATAGTTTTTTAATAGTTATATTTTTTCTCTCCAGACATCTTTTCTCTGCTTAAATGTATATATTTTTTATAAAGGGATCGATCATACAATGTAAAATGTTCTGCATCTTTCTGTGTATAAAACATAAAAACTTGTTGAACTCAATATGGAAAGCACATTGTCTGGAAGATAATATTTAAATGTACATGGTCACATTGTACGTCAATGGCAGTGCTAAGCCTGAAGGTTAGACTTTATTCTTACCTGACGCCCTTTTTCCATATCAAAATACCTTTTCAACCTTGCTCCAAAGGATTCAGCCTAAAATACTCTTTGTACTCTAAACTACTATGTTGTAATTCTTGTTTGTTTTTTTGAGACAGTTTTACTCTGTTGCCTGGGCTGGAGTGCGGTGGCATAATCACGGCTCACTGCAGGCTCAACTCCCCAGGCTCAATCCATCCTCCCACCTCAGACTCCCAAGTACCTGGGACTACAGGTTTGCACCATCATGCCTGGCTAATTTTAAATTTTTGTAGAGATAGGGTCTTGCTATATTGCCCAGGCTGGCTCCGAATTCCTGGGCTCAAGTGATCTTCTCTCCTGGGCCTCCCAAAGTTCTGGGATTATAGGCATGAGCCACTGCACCTGGCCTTATGTTGTATTTTTTATGTAATAGATCTTCTTGCTCTGTCTCTGTTTCTCTCTCTATATATATATGTAGGTATGTGTGATGTATACACACATAATGATACACACAATAATAATGTACACTATATAATTGTACTATACCTGTTTGTACTCTTTCTTCTTTGTCATATATAAGAACCTTGGGACTGGGTATGGTGGGCCATTCCTGTAATCCTAGTACTTTGAAAGGCCGAGGCAGGCAGATTACCGGAGGTCAGGATTTGAGATCAGACTGGCCAACATGGTGAAACCAGGTCTCTACTAAAAATGCGAAAATTAGCTGGGTGTGGTGGTGGGCTCCTGTAGTCCCAGCTACTTCAGAGGCTGAGGCAGGAGAATCGATTGAACCTGGGAGGGGGAGGTTGCAGTGAGCTGAGGTCATGCCACTGCACTCCAGGCTGGGCGGCAGAGCTAGACTCTGTCTCAAATAAATAAAAAAAAAATAACCATGAGGCCAAGGTCCATGTGTTATAATATTATTTTCTTGATAGTATCCAGCCTAGAGCCACACATACAGTAGACTGGTTAACTGTTTGTATTTGGAAAGTACTTTGCTTGAATTTGGTGACTAAAATTTAAAAATACACTGCCAAGTCTATACTACAGACATCCTCCTGGGTGTTTTGTTCACATGTATATTTATTTACTTGGATAATTTCAAATAAGAAATAAAGGTAAATTAATAATAACTAGATACATTTCAATGTAAGGTCCCTGGTAAGATTTGAATAACCATTTCTTTATTGATTATTTAATGTGATTTGCGATTGTATTTTTTTCTATTAGTAAATATAAAATATTTTCCAGTGATATAAATTAATATTTCAATTTTTTGTCTAGGCAAGCAATGCTTCCAAAAACATATCAAAAGCAAAACAATTGATTGAAAAAGCAAAAGCTTTACACATCAGTAGGTCAAAAGTGACTGAAGAAATAGTGATTCCCTTAAGGCGCTCCTCTAGACATCAGATACTTTCTGAAAGGAAGAAATTGTCCGAAACAGAAGTAAGTATTACAAATATCTGTTGGTATAAATTCTCTCCTATTTTGCTGTTTGGAGTGGGAGAAGAAAACTATTACAAAGTTATAAGGTAGGTTTGTGTGATAGCTTGAAGTGGTAGAAAGAATATTATTTTCAGTTTTGCTTTAAAAGTTCTGCTTTTTTTGTTTGCAGAATACAGTTTGAATCCTAAGATCTTTCACAGGCTGAACTACCTCTTCCCTTTTTTTTTGGTTTTTGAGACAGAGTTTTGCTCTTGTTGCCCAGGCTAGAGTGCAATGGCATGATCTTGGCTCACTGCAGCTTCCACCTCCTGGGTTCAAGCAAGTCTCCTGCCTCAGCTTCCCAGGTAGCTGAGATTGCAGGTGTATTTTTAGTAGAGATGGGATTTCACCATGATTGGCCAGGCTGGTCTTGAACTCCTGAATTTAGGTGATCCACCCGCCTTGGCCTCCCAAAGTGCTGGGATTACAGGCGTGAGCCACTGTGCCTGGCCCCCTTCCCTTTCTTCAAAACAACTCTTTGCTCTAGTCACACTAAATTCTTCATTTTTCCCTAAATGGTGCAGTTTTCACAGTATTCATTTTATTGTTATCAGCTTGAAGTATACATTCCAGGTACTCTATTCTATGTGAGGAATTCCTACTCAAGCTTTGAGATCCTGCTAGTACCTTCCCTCTTGAAAAGTACTTAAGTTGTGGCTGGGCATGGCGACTCATGCCTGTAATCCCAGCACTTTGGGAGACCGAGGCGGGCAGATCATGAGGTCAGGAGTTTGAGACCAACATGGTGAAACCCTGTCTCTACTAAAAATACAAAAATTAGCCTGGTATGGTGATGTGAACTTGTAATCCCAGCTACTCAGGAGGCTGAGTCAGGAGAATCTCTTGGAGAGGCAGAGGTTGCAGTGAGCCGAGATTACGCCATTGTATACCAACCTGGGTGACAGAGTGAGACTCCGTCTCAAAAAAAAACAAACAAACAAACAAACAAGTTTAATTGAGATATAATTCATATACCATGCGCTTCACCATTTAAAGTGTACAGTTCAGTGGCATTTGTATATTGATAGAGTTGTGCATTTATTACTATAGTCTATTTTAGAACATTTTCATTACCCCAAAAATAAACTCTTTTCTTCTTAGTTGTCACCCCCAATCCCCTCATTCCAACAGCCCTAGCTAACTGCTAATCTTTTTTTTTTTTTTTTTTTTTTTTTTTTTTTTTTTTTTTTTTTTTTTTTTTTTTTTTTTTT